GCGCCATTCCCCTCTACGGACCGGATACGTGCGCTCTTGTGCTCCTCATTCAGTTCCCCATGGCGAACCCTGGTGGAGTTCCTCCCGCACCCTCGGCGGTCAGGCGTGGCGGAGCGCCAGACGCCAGGCTCAGCACTCGTGTGCATGCCCAAGGTCAGCCCTTGTGCTGGGCTAGGTACCCGTGTGTAGTGATTCCCCCTTTGGGTGATCCCACATGTGTATTCTTCCACGGTACGGCTCCCCTCACGGTAAGCCTGTGTCTTTCCCTGGCAGTCGTTCACTGCCATCTCTGTTGCGTAGTCATCTCACCCCAGGTGGGTTGAGTCTACTACAGGGACTTCCATATGTAGCACTGCCCTGGGCCAGTCCATATGTGTAATTCCACATGATACCTCCTATGTGCGGGATGTGGCTTCCGTAGCGTCCCAACTGGGTACGCTTTCCCAGTGTTATCCAATGTACCACTGTATGGAACAGCAGTGGCGGACACCTCTCCCTGCCTATCTTCCGCCCCAGCTGGTGTGGGGGGCTTGCCGGCTTCCGCAGGGCACTGGAGGGGGTCAGCAATAGTGGCGTTTTCCATACGGATCCCAATTCATCAGTCAGTAGAACGTGACTGACTGAAATGGAACATCTCGGTTACTTGTGTAACCCTCGTTCCCTGAAGGAGGGAACGGAGACGTTACGTTCCGTCACAACAGTTGCTGTACCACCGCTGTATGGCCGGGGCGCGTAGTCTCGGCTCCTCAGCAAAAAACTGATGTGCGTTTGCACGCGCTCTCCTTTTATACCCGCGCTGCGGGGAGGGGTGCGCGTGGCGAAGCACGCACGCCAACTGTCATTGGCTTGTTTAATTTACACTCGAAGGTGATTGGGCTCTCGGGCGAGATACCAATTCATCAGTCACGACTGACGTAACATCTCCGTTCCCTCCTTCAGGGAACGAGGGTTACACAAGTAACCGAGACATTATCCTTTATCAGTGGCAGTAACCATAGGGCAGAATTACTATTGATTTTGAAGATACTTTAATACAGTTGTTCTTATTAGCAGGTCAGGGCCCACTAGGGGATATTGGCAAACTTCCAGGGAGGCCCAAATAAGTACAGTTATTTAAATTTAGTTACAGTATACAATACATTAATGTACAACCGTGTTCTTACTGTGATTTTGTTACTATTTTGACATTGTTTTGTTTATAACATTTTGTGACAACCCTTCTTTCTCTCTAGCTTAGAGCTGTTGTATCTGGGTGGTAACCAGATCTCCTCCATCCCTGCTGAACTAGCTAACTTACCCTGCCTCAGTTACCTAGTTCTGTGTGATAATCGCATCCAGAGCGTCCCACCTCAACTCAACAGGTAAGTCTGAGATGTCACGCAAATGCTTGCTAACAAAGTGTGTCTATTTGTCCTTTAAGGTTGCACGGTTTGAAAAACACATTTTGCAGTTATTTTGATGATAAGCATTTAACAGATCATCATGGTTATTATCATTAACTGAAACTAAAACCATACAAAATTCATTACTAGAAAGAAAGATAGAAAACTTCAACTTTTTATTTCATTTCCGTTTTATTTCAGCTACTTGCCAAGGCAACAATTCTCATTTTCGTTTAGTTTATTTTGAAGTACGTTTAAAGGGGTCATATGATGCGATTAAAATTTTTCCTTTCTTTTTGGAGTGTTACAAGCTCTTGGTGCATAAAGAAGATCTGTAAAGTTGCAAAGACTAAAGTCTCAAATCCAAAGAGATATTCTTTATAAAAGTTAAGAGTCAGCCACACCTACCTAAAACAGCTCGTTCTAACACGCCCCCACATACCTACGTCACTATCTGGGAAGATATGCATAATGCCACCAAAATGTTCATGCAAAGAAAGAAGGCGTAACTTTTATTCTCGCTGTAGTATTGTTTTTGCCGCCGCCATGTCGTGAAGGCGCTGTGTTTCATTGTGAAAGCGAAACTACTTTGTTTGGCCTTCCAAAAGTGGACGATATCTGCTTCGTCATGCCTGGAGCTGATCCGTGCTGGTTGCTGAGGAAATACAACAACTTTGCGCTGTCGATCGCCGGATCGGCATTCACCGTGGACGAAGCGGAGTCCAGCCCGGGGTCGTCACATGTGGTTGCCGCAAGCCTCCTTCGTCAAATCTGCCGGCCGTGCCGTTCTCAAGCACGCCGCCTCTGCTGACTCTAGCCCTCCGGCCGTTCCTCACTCTAGCCCCCGGCCTCTGCTCACTCTAGGCCGCCGTGTGTGACCCTGTGTTTCATTGTGAAAGTAAAACTACTTTGTTTGGCTTTCCAAAAATGGACACGACTAGAAATCAGTGGTTAAGTTGTATTTACAACACTGTTCCAGAACAGTTCAACCCAAATATTATTATAAATAATATATAAATGTGCAGCACATTTTATGGAGGACTGTTTCCTGATCCTGGTAGAGTAGACTACAATGCCGGCTGTTCTGACTCACAGATTGTAAGTGTGTCTTTTAAATTTAAAGAGTTTTTATATTTTATATTTTTTATATTTAAAGCAATTTTTTGGGCAGTGTAGAATAGGGCTTGTTGTTTGTCATTTCTCCAATCACAAATGCAGACATGGTTTTATGTTTACGCGGCGCGATGCAACACGTAAAAAGACAGTATAAGTCATTATAATCCGTAATTATGTCCCCACTGGATGCAACAAATGCCTCGTTTATAATGGGTTTTAATGTTTTTGTCTCGTCGCTCCGGCCAACATTTTCGTCACACGCTTGAGGTATTCGGCCAATCATAATGCACTGGAAAGCTGACCAATCACAGCAAATTTTGCTTTTCAGACTGATGAGTTTTGTAAAAATCTACGTGTTTCAGAAAGGCGGGGCATAGAGGAGAAACAATAATGTACTGTATGTGGAAAATTATGTGTTTTTTGAACCTTAAACCGCATAAACATTTTCATTACACCAAATACACAAATTAATGTTCTTTTTAGCAGCATCATATGACCCCTTTAAAATAAAAAAGCAATAAAAACGATGAAAACAAACCACAATTACTAAAACTTTTACTAAAATGAAAACAGAAAATATAAAATGCCATTTAAAATATTAACAAAAACTGTTATAGTTTATACAGGATACTAAAATAACAATACAGCTCATATTGATTCTTCTTAGATATCCAAAAAGTATTATATGTAATTTAAATGTATATTAGGTATTTAATACAATATATATATATATATATATATATATATATATATATATATATATATATATATATATATATATATATATATATATATATTGTGATATATTCCAATACTTAATAGTAGTAATTGTAGTAGTAGTATTAATAATGAAAGAAATATAAAAAATGTTTTTGGCCTGTCCTGCTGTTCTTTCCACCCTCCCAGGCTCCATTCCCTGCGCTCTCTTAGTCTGCATAATAACCTGCTGACGTATCTTCCGAGAGAGATCTTGAGCCTGGTGCACCTTCAGGAGCTCAGTCTCAGAGGCAATCCTTTGGTTGTACGCTTCATCAAGGACATGACCTACGACCCCCCGTCGCTGCTGGAGCTGGCTGGCCGAACCGTCAAAAGCAAGAACCTCCCATACTCGCATAAAGACCTCCCGAGCCATCTAGTCAACTACCTAGACATAGCCAGCAAGTGCCCCAACCCCAAGTGTGCAGGTGGGAGGAGAAACATGATATAAACGTTTTAATAAATATAATCTAAGAGCATCCAGAGAGGTTGAAACCAAAGTAATTTATATATTCAATTCAATATATTCAAGTTGATTGTTACAGTGTTTTTCACAATACATATTGTTCCAGCTTTACAGAAAGTGCTTGTTTTAGTGTTTAAATCAGAATGTATTTTGTTATCAGCCAGAGATTAATCAAAGTTATGTCTATAATGGCAGTAATATAGAGCTATAAGATGTTGTTAGGTAACGTTGTGAACTTAAGCAGACACAACAAACCTGCTAAGCATGAATTACAGCTTGTGAATTACTTCTAGAATTAGAATTACTTCTAGTGATGATATAATATAAGAATGATATTTGACAGTTTTGAATGTTTATCGTATATATAGAATAATGTGCTCTCATTTAAAGGGATAATTCACCCAAAAATGAAAATTCTGTCATTTGCTCATCTTCATGTGGTTTGAAACCTGTAAGATTTCCTTCTTAATTTTTTTTTTATATATTATACACACTACCGTTACCGAAATTTCTTGTGCTCATCAAGGCTGTATTTATTTGATCAAAAATACTGAAAAAAAACCTGTTATTTTGTGAAATATTATTGCAATTTAAAATAACAGTTTCTATTTTAATATACTTTAAAATATAATTTATTGGTGTGATTGAAAGCTGAATTTTCAGCATCATTACTCTAGTATTCAGTGTCACATAATCCTTCAGAAATAATTCTAATATGCTGATTTATTATCAATGTTGGAAACAGTCGTGCTGCTTCATGTTTTTTGGAACCGGTGATACTTTTTTCAGGATTCTTTTATGAATATAAAATAAAACAAATAAGGCTGGGCAAGTTAACGCATTATTATCGCGTTAACGCATTAATTGATTAACGCGACAATTATTTAATCGCACGTTAACGCATTTTTTTATTATAATGAAAGTCCATTGCTCACTGTCTCTGAATACACATGCAGACAAACCATGGGTCACAGGAGGGGTGGGATGTTAATCAGTACTGGCTTGGGATGGGTGTCATCACGCGTCTCAACCAATGAGAGCATTTAGGGTGGACCTAAAGACTGCTGCATCACTCACATGAAGCACTCACGACTTCACGTGAAGGCAGCAGAGAAGCACTCTTGCTCAGCACAGTGGAGTGCATGGTTTTGTTAACTTTGTGGTTTATTATTTTGAGTCGTTTGGGATGCGGTAACACACGGCCCTTTCACAATATGTTGGTTTACAGATCTATCACTTTTGCCGCTCAGAAATGTTTACGTAATCATGCTGCACGTATCAGAAGTTCAGCGCTCCAACACTACATGCGTACCACGCCCGAGCCCAAGTGAACCGCGCTCTGGTCCACCTCTTCCAACCGAGCCAGGGTCGGCTAAACAAACCGCAGCACGGAGCGATCACACTAGTCAAACGAACCGGGCTTTGGGGGTCAATCGCGCTCGGGCACGGTTAAGAATGCCTAGTGTGATACACCTTATTCTCCTGCATCCCGTACACACGAGTCTCTACCCGCTCACACCCGCACTCCCCCATCAAGTGTTGTCGCGCCACACTCTGCTGCGTTGGGTCCTATGATAGTGCAGGTCTCTACTCGGAAAGTGCTTGTTATAATGTTATGATCGAAGCTCTGGACTCTACGCATAACTAGTTTTTCTATAACAAACTATAAAATATTTTCTAAAAATGTTAATGCCCTGGCAGTGGCAAATAGCTTTGGTTTTGTATTTAATTTGATTGCATTAATGTTATAAGTTGAGATTTACAATAAATATTTTAACTGCTACTATGTAAAATGAATACTGCTGTAAAAAAAGCACCTTATTTGTTTAAAGTGTTTGCAAACCAAATGTTATTGCACTTTTGTTCACATAGCAGTAATTTTAAAGGGGTCATATGATGCGATTTCAAGTTTTCCTTTCTCTTTGGAGTGTTACAAGCTCTTGGTGCATAAAGAAGATCTGTAAAGTTGCAAAGACTAAAGTCTCAAATCCAAAGATATATTCTTTATAAAAGTTAAGAGTCAGCCACACCTACCTAAAACGGTTGGTTCTAACACACGCCCCACATATCTAGGTCACTATGTGAAAATATTTGCATAATGCCGCCCAAATGTGCACGCAAAGAAAGAAGGCGTGGTTTCAGGAACAGCAGTCGTGTTGATGCAGCATGTCGGGGAGACGCTGTGTTTCAGTGCGAAAGCAAAAGCACTTTATTTGGCCTTCCGGAAGTAGATGCAGTTAGGAATCATTGGTTAAGATTTATTTACAACAGAACAGCACAACCCAGATGTTCGAATTTGTGCAACGCATTTTATGGGCGACAGTTTTTTTAACCTAGAAGAGTACAAGGCTATTTCTAAAAAAATAAATAAATAAATGCTATGACAATCTGGCGCTTCTAAATCAGCGTATGTACATATGTTTTGTTACTAGTTTAAGTATTTGCTATTGACTGTTCAAATGCGGAGTTTTGCGCAGCGCAGAGTAACGAACAGCACAACCCAGATGTTCGAATTTGTGCAACGCATTTTATGGGCGACAGTTTTTTTAACCTAGAAGAGTACAAGGCTATTTCTAAAAAAAAATAATAATAAATGCTATGACAATCTGGCGCTTCTAAATCAGCGTATGTACATATGTTTTGTTATTAGTTTAAGTATTTGCTATTGACTGTTCAAATGCGGAGTTTTGCGCAGCGCAGAGTAACGATTAATCGCAGATAATCATGTGATCAAAAATCGTAATCGTTGCCCAGCACAAAAAAAAAACATAATTTATTCAAAATGGAAATATTGTGTTACAATATACACTACCGTTCAAAAGTTTGGAGTAAAAGAAAAAAAATTAAGCAGCGCAACTGTTTCCAACATTGATAATGAATCAGCATATTATAATGGTTTCTGAAGGATCATGTGACACTGAAGACTGGAGTATGATGCTGAAAATTCAGCGCTGCGTCACAGAAATCAATTATATTTTAAAATATATTAAAACAGAAAACCAATATTAGAAATTGAAATAATATCTCACAATATTATAGTTTTTTTCTGTATTTTTGATCAAACAATACAGCCTTGATGAGCACAAGAGACTCCATTAAAAAGCACAAAAAATCTTACTGATCCCAAACTTTTGAATGGCAGTGTATAATGTCATATATTTTGTCTCTCCTTTGAAAGTCCACATAACCAACATTTTGAAGCTTTAAAAAGTTCATAAAGAGATTGTAAAATATGCATAAATATACATACAAATATTGTAATTTCTGTTTCAAGATGAACAAAAGTCTAATGGGTTTGAAATGACATGAGGGTGAGTAATATAGTGTTATATATATTCTTATATAACACTATATATATATATTATTTTAAATATAGACCAATTTTTAAAACTATATATTTATCATTATAGTTATCATCTTTAGTGTGAATAGGCCTTTAGTCAATGCAAACCGTTTTCTAACAACAGCATATCTCACCACCTCATTCCCAGGTGTTTACTTTGACTCATGCGTTCGTCACATCAAGTTTGTGGATTTCTGTGGGAAGTATCGCCTGCCCTTGATGCACTACCTGTGCTCCCCAGAATGCACCTCTCCCTGCAGCTCCAACCCTCAGAGCGACGCTGACTCGGACGAAGACAACAGCGTGCCTGCCGATCGCCTTCAAAGAGTGCTGCTGGGATAACCTCGCTCACCCCGCACACGTCGTCTCCTCTCTCTCACTTACAGTGTTATCTGCAGGAGCTTTGAACTTTACAGCCAGCTGGCTTGAAAACCTCTCAGCTGAAGCCAAATCTTATTGCCAAGTGATTGAGCAAGTGGCATTCTGAGAAAGACATCTGCAGATAGTTTCTCTTACAAAGGCCTTGCTTTGCACAGGCAAAATCAAAAACACTGGCGGTTCAGAATAGTTGTTAGTTATATTAACTAAGTTGCCTTGGTCATCAATCTGTTTAGCTCTTGCACTTTTGTAATATGTTAGAAGACGCAGTTTAGGTGCATGCATATCTTTTGCTTGGCAATAGGTTGCTTTGTCTCACGGGGGAGCGCTAACTTAATTTTTTCACATTACGCACAAAGATTTACTGTGAAATAAACATCGAGAACACTTGCCTTTTGGGTTTGTGAGAAATTTAGAATAAAGTTTTCTTCATGTTTGTAACTGCGTGGCCTGCAGCACTGTAAAACAGCTACATCTTCAAAAACATGCGCTTGTGTCTGCTAAATATCTTGATTAAGCTTTTGTGTTAGTACTGAATTTACTAATACTTTGCGGTTGCATTCAAAAACCAGGGCAGCATCTAGAATCTTGAGATAAACAGTGACAAAGGTTACCAGTGACTTTGTTTTGAAGGTTAATTCTTCACTCTGCTTTAATATAAAATATATGATATTGTTACAGAGCCAATGGACAAATTTGTGATGTGTTTCTAGCATTTTTAAACTGAACTTCTTCGAACACTTCCTGCACACAGAAAATTAAGGGGCCAGAATTGTACGGTTTGGGGTACAATAACTTGTCCCTGGAGCAGTACCCTTAAAAGGACATCTTTGTACCTTTTTTTACTGCATAACTGTACTAATATGGGGGGGGGGGGGGAAAAAGTACTGCTCCAGGGACAAGCTGTTGTGCCCCAAAAGGTACAATTTTAAACCCCTTTTTTTATGTGTGTGTTTTATAAACTCAATTTCTTTAGTTTCTTCACATGTGTCTTACACTCTTAGGCTTAACCAATACTGACTATGCAAATAACTAATGCAATCATTATTTCAGCGTTTTAAAATTCATATCTAAGGCTTTTATACTAAATAATATTTTATGATATTTTCTATATATCAGTGACAAGATAGAATGTATGTTTTTTTTAAGATGATGAAGGCAGATTTGAATAACATTCACTCCTCTAGTGGTTTATAAACATGTTTTTGCACTTCTTATGTAGAGTACTATAATAATAAAAAATTATTATAATAATTTGTGTGTAGGTCAATTTTTTAAATGAATATTGCATGTTTTTCTGGAATAAAGCCAGAGCTTTCCTACAGTTCTACAGTCCTCTTATATTCAAATCTAGAAGTAAAATATAATTTCTAGGGAAACCGGTAGTAATAGCCAGCTAAACCTTTCACTAGGATCATTAAGGCTGCATTAATGCTCATTTCTGAACCATCTCTTGTCTCCCTACTGCTGGCCTTGTTTTCTCATGAGATCTGCTTATTTTGCGTCATCAATAGCGATGTGAGCTTATGCTTATCTAGGCAGGACGCTTCTGGCCTTCATGCCTTGGCAGGTACACTTGGCCACAGTGTTGAAGGACCTCAGAGAGTTATGCACGGTGATCATACTCTCCCTCTTGGTGACCAAAGTCACAGCACAAGCCATTGGTCTGGTGATAGCCACAATGGTGGTGCAGAAGCATGACCTGTGGTTGGAGCTTGTGATGAAGGAGGCCAAGAAGGTAAAATTCCTTGACACCCTATCCCAAGCAGGACTGTTCGATGAAGAGGTGGAGGCCTTTACCTAGCAGTTCATGGTAGTGCCGTAAAGCACATCCTGCTTCACGGCACCTCGGTCATTGAGGTTATCGGCAGCCCCTTCTGCTGTCCCAGCTCCAACACACACCAAGCCCCCAGTGCGATCTCAATGCCAGAGATTGCAGAAGAAAACAGGGTCTTCCTCCTGCCAGCCCACGATGAAGAGCCTTCCCAGGGATTCTAATTGGTCCCTGAGGTTGGTGTCCAGTGAACGGACATTTGCTCAACGCCTGCAGTCCAGCCCAAAAGATGGCGCAAACCATGTTCGTTTTCCCAGTGGAGGATCAAGTTGGGGAGACTTCTGTTAAAAATGTTGGTTTAATTTTGAAGGAGAAGGCGATGTAAGGCACTGAAGGGAGTCATTTCTGAAAAAAGAGCAAGCTTCTCATCCACTGCATATTACACCTGTAAACGATGTCATTGGTTCTCATGGACATGATGGCCATGCATTGAGCACCAGCGATCTATGCATGCAAAGGCTTCTCCTCCAGGTGCTGTGCTGCAATGTATGCCCACTTGCTCACTCCTGCTTCCTCATGTTCTATAGTGTGGCCCCTGTATCAGACTGGGCTACCCAATTCAGTTTGCGAGGTGACTTATTGTTTTATATAGTGGTAAGCCTGAATATGGGCAGCCATGCTTAAAAAGTATCATGTCTGAGAAACAGCACGTCTCCCAGAGCAAGCCACTGGTTGGCTCAGTTGAAGCATGATCCTGCCCTCAAGATCAGAGGTGTTCAGAGGATTGGAACAATGTCTCATTACGTCCATCAGAGAACCAAGGTTTCAATAGTAACCAAGATCTTGCCTCACATTTCACACTGCTTATACTTTACCTGGGGTTAACAGTCAATCCTGGGTATTCATAACCCCACTTCTAAATTACAAGTGTGAAACACAGTACCTTTAGCCTGGGTTAAAAACTGGCTTTAGAAAGACAATAACCCAGGGTTAGGCAAGGTGTGAAAACCATATTTGTACCCTAATTTTTGTTAAATAGTGAGCATGATTTAATTACACTAAAGCAAGGGAGCAAATTAGTACAACATAGCCACAATTTAACTGAAACAATGGATTATTTTAATAAAATGTGTCCATACTTTAATAAGTCATGTATGTTATGTATCACCCTCCAATCTCTTAATGAATACTTTTCATTTGTGATAATGGGGTTCTGAACATATTCAGCATGATTACCTGTTGCTTCTGTAACCTCGAACTTCTGTGTAAAAAAATGTTGCATTCAAGGTATCATTGAAATTTAAATGTGTTTTAGTTGGCAAGATTGATTCCCCTCAGAATCCATTAGCCAGACACTTGTCAGTTCAGACGGTCAGGGATTTGGCCAGTGAACATACAGGACTGAGTTCCTGCATTTGCATATGAAAATGCCATCTCATCACTGCTCCTGAATACAGAGGGACTTTCTTTTCACCTTCCAAATTCAAAGGTTTATTCTAAACAGGACACTCTTTCTTTGAAGGAGAAAGACCTGGTAACACAAATTGATGCCACTCTTTTCCCACTTTATTTGGTCCTGCTTTCACTCTCTGTGAGGATTGTCTAATCTTTGATGGGTTTTGAGGGACAGATGTGTTATTTGTCCTGCAGTTTGTTTGACCACTTTTTAAACACTTGTTAGGAGCTCAAAGCCCCATGGCACCCTACTGACAGCACATTGAAAGGGTCTCTCCTCACTTCACTGCACCTCAATATATAACGTTGTGAGTTCTGAGATGTGGCTTTCTCATAGCATGCACATTTGCTTAATGCTAAAATGTGTTAAATGGTTCTTTTCACATCTTTTATCTCTTCTCTAGTCTCTGTTACCTTGAGAGCAAACAATTCATGTTCATAGTGGAGTTCAGAAAAGCCTCTAAATGTCTTGCTACAAGTTTCGAGAACAAAATATATATTAGCTAGAACAGGGTTCCCTAAACTTTTTATATATTTTGAGATGTATGATCAATCTTAAGACCTATCAAAAGTTGTAGAGATGTACTTTGGGTATAGGCTTCCTGATCTTCATTGCATTATGACCATAGAATGTATTATTTCTTGCAATTTTTATTTTATCTTAAAATTCTTAGTTAACGTCTTGCAATTTTAAGTTCTGAGTTTATACCTTGCAATTTGGACTTTCTTTCTCAGAATCACAAGTTTATAACTATCCTGACTATTTCTCACAATTTCAAGTTTATAGCTCACAATTCTGACCTTTTTTCTCAAAATTGAGAGTTTACATTTCGCAGTTTGTACTTTTTTTCTCTGAATTCTGAGTTTATATCTGTTTTAAGGGGCATCTAATTTTGTGGATGAAAGGATCTGTCTATAGTTTTTTTTAAATGCACCTCTAGCCCTTTGTTTTATTTTATTTTTAATTATTTATTTTTCTTTTTTATTTCACTGTCCTGCGTCTCACATTTTAAATGCATGGCTGTTTGTGGTACTTTTTATATTTTTGTTCTTGAACTGTCCCTCTAAACTGTAATACATTTTTTACAAAACTGTATCTTCTATGTCAGAGTTCTGAGGGCAGTAAATAAAGGGTATCAGATGTTTTGAATAAAGTGTACGATTGAAGGTGTAAAAAAAAACACCCTCAAGATTAATGAAACATTCACTGAGCTTTGTAATACATGCACAACACATGAAACACTCCATATATACAGGTGCATCTCAATAAATTAGAATGTCATGGAAAAGTTCATTTACTTCAGTAATTCAACTCAAATTGTGAGTAGTAGCTACCTGACCACAGGAATGTGCAAGCTGACAGCTGTGTGGGTGTCTGAGGTTTAGTCTTCACATCATGAGGGATACTGCATCTTTCTGAGGAAAGATCAACTAAACCTTCACTCTATAATTAAATAATTCAGAATCTTCCTCATACCAATGCATACTTAAATACAAGTCCTGTGACACTGAAAATGTGTGCGGTTGATTTTAAAACAGAAAACATAAGAAAATATTGTATGTGTAAAGTTAATTAAGCTGGGGAATGAGTTAGTAGTTGCAGTTAGCGTGTGTGCATGTACCTGTATAGCTGCAATTACTTGCAACTTGAGATGCATGAAAGACGCCAGGCTGAAATTGAAGCATTCACATTAAAATGGTTGTAAACTGAGAGCTGTGAACAAAGTTTAGCGTTGTACAATGTCCAGCGCTCACTCTACAGAGAATGTGCTGTTGTCAAGCACACATGACAGATCCTTATTCTGGAATAACAGTCTCTAAACATGTTGGAATATGAGCCACATTCACACAGCAGCATATGAGCATCCATAACCTGTCATTTTGGGCAGGACTGCCTGCCACAGGAGGTGAGTAATAGCTGTGCCATGACTAGAGTGGGTGGGTGGAACGAGGAACTGTGTTCTTAGGATTATTCTGTGTTTTTTTTCCATTACAATTTTGACCTTTTATGACATACCAAGGGGAGTGTTGTCATCATGTCACCGGTGATTTCTTTGTCTATGCAAGTAACATCTTGAAATCCAGCTCAGCCATAAAGATAATTGCAGTGCTGTGTAAGGACTTTTGACCAGGTCAAGCGGAATCATATTTTCTAATGTATAAAGTAACCTTCACAGACAGAGATATCAAACATAGACTGCAATTAGGTCAATGCAAAGCTTTGTATACAGAGTTTTTATGGCTTTACACATTTTCAAGCAAAACAAAAACAGTGAGGAATGCAGTGTTAGGCTATAGGTTCCTAGATTTTTGACCAATGAATTTCAATGACTGTTTGCCTTGATTTTTTTAATGTGATTTTTGATCATATTTTTAATGATTAATCATTTCAAACGCTTAGTTTGAAAAGAGCAATTTGCTCACCACTCAGAAAAACCACTATGGCTTATGAGCAACTTTTACACAACACAAAATCAATATCTAGCCAATGAAATATATGGTTTTAGTTGCTTTTACATCTTATAGAGCACAATATAGAAAATGCAGCCTATCTAATCATTCATTTTCTATAGGCTATTATATTATTTATTTTTTTTAAATCTCCAGGTTATCTAGGTTATCCAGGTTTTCCATGACTGTGGGAACCATGTAAATCCAGCTATTAAATGCATGTTTATGCATGATATTATTTTTCTGAAGAAAATCTTGAAAGTGATAATCTGGCTGTGTAACTTTGTATGCTCCTAAATTTGTGCAGCCATCATTGGCCATATGCTGTTGTTATTGGTAATACTGGCTGTACACCATCTCCTCTTTCCTTAACTCCGTAACTGAGTAGACATGCAGCCATCTACTGTTGCCTCATGCAGATGAAAAATTTAGCAGGTCTTTGGAACATGAGCCTGGAAGCCCTGCATCTGCCCTGAGGTTAACAAGGTTCAGACTCAAGAAGGAACGTAACAGTCCGAGAGCCTCCAGTAGTAGAAAAGAGATGAGGAGATACAACAATCTTTAAACCATTTAATATCTGATGCCAACCTGCACATCAAGAATTCAAATTCTACCCAATAATTCAACCATATTTTTCACAAAGTCTACCCCCCAACCATATCCATTTCCTTAATATAGTTGGATTGCAAATTAAGTTTAAATTAATATTATTTAAATAAGAGGTACAGTTTAAATATTGTGCCCAATTTGATATTGCTTTGAAATGTTTTAACATAATTCCAGGCGTCTGTGTATGAATTTGACTTTGTATGAGCTCGACAGCGACATCTGCTGGTGTAAATCACAACTGACGCTGACAGAAACAGGCAACGAAGTGCTTCTACATTTTCTAAAATAATCATATTTAATAATTATATTAAAAAAAACATAGACAATTGCATTGCACGTGATATTTGGCAGCAAAACTGGCTCATGTAATATGATTACGGAACTAAAAGGACTATTTTATACTGTAGTTTGTCTAAAGAAAAAGCACCCAAGGTTTTTTTTTTTTTTTTCGTTCCTTTCCAAGGAAAAGCTAACCGCATGACTAGACTCACACAATAAACCTGTGAAGTTTTAATAACCCCTTATGGTTCTGATTGCGCATTGAGTTATGAGTTTATGTTCTGCGTTATTATTTGCGCACTTGGAGCGAGAATCATCAGTCTGCTATGTAAAAAAGAAACAAGAAGGAAAAAAGTCTGCTTTGTTACCATGCATGCGCTCACTACTGCGTAATGGAGCAGGTGTGATAAGCAGGAGTGTATTTCTTTCCACTGAAGTGTATTATGATATTTTTTGTTTTTATAATTACTCCCATGCAGTACAGAGTCCACCCTATCCCACACGCCGCCCTGTCCCGCGAGACCTCTCAGTTAGATCAACTAGCACACGTTATGAGAAGTCAGACAAACAATGAACTCTGCAGCTGCTATCTTCTTTGAAGCTGGATAAAGTGCACAAGTAGTAGTAGTAGTAGGATAAACGAGTAAGTAGTAATCTCGTTTTCAAACATTAAAATGTATTTGCATTGCACAAAATAGTAACAAAATCAGTGCAATTTTAATGTCAAAAATAGCCTATTTAAAATGTTAACCTGAATTTATTAGAATACACCTATACCAAAGTGAAAGTAATTAGGCACAGGCACAGCCTAGTGTATCCAATTTTTATAGTGCACTTCCAAAATGAGTTTTTCTCTGTCTGTGTCTCCCTCCCTCACTCACAGCCTCCTCCTCTTTGCTCTTTCTGTGTCTGACTCTGTCCGCCGCTCTCACTTTGAGTGTTTCTGGAGTTCATTCACTGTTTGCTGTTCATCATAGATGGAACAGACAATAAAAACTCTAAAACTACAGACTGAGCCTTCGGATCACCCCTGACTACATTTGCCACTGTGATGTCGGGATGGTTGTATCGGATCACTCGAGGATGTCGGGACAGGAGCACCTTTCATTCACACGGATCACAGGTTTGCTCAATCTGTTTTCCTAAGACAATTTCATGTTGCAGATGCTGCACCTAAAATTGACTGGAATTGTTGTTGTTTTTTAAACACGGTTGTAGGCCACATAAACGATGTAGCAATAGTATAGGCCTATTTATATAGAATCATTTTAATTAAATAATAATTATAATTGAAGTGATTATATTGTTACTTAGGCTATTAACATTAGTAGCCTATTTTATTTATTAAGTTATGTAGGCTATTCCTACGTTCCTACACTCTAGGGTTGTTTTGACCCGGCTGTTGGGTTGTTTTGACCCGGCGGTTGGGTTGTTCTGACCCGGCGGTTGGGTTGTTCTGACCCGGCGGTTGGGTTGTTCTGACCCGGCGGTTGGGTTGTTTTGAACCCAACCGCTGGGTCAAAACAACCCAATAGCTGGGTTTGTCCCTTTTTAACCCAGCGCTGGGTTATATTTAACCCAGCATTTTTTAGAGTGTAGTCGCATGCTTAAGAAATACAAAACCAAGAAAGCTAAGTAAATTTAAATTTCCTTATAAAACGAACGCAGTTAATACCATTTTTCCCGATTTGACTTTCATTTCGAGGTTTGTTGTCGTCTTCTCAGTGGGCGTTGAGTCGAGGGGGGTAAACCAATAATAACTGGCATTCTTATACTGCTTGAGCAGCTTAGATTAAATTGCTAAACGGATTAAAAGAGAGTGAGGGGGATTGTTCATATATGATCCTCAAACAACACTAGCTGTGCTTTTGTGCAGTCATCATCAATGTCTCATTCACTTCTCTGAAGTCTGTACTTAATTACAGAGCATGAGACAAAAAAAAGAAGCGTTAAACAGTAGCCTACCCTTACCAAAAAGTAGTATACTTCAAGTTTATTTTAGCAAGTATACTTAAGTAAAGTTCAAGTATATTTTTAAGTATGCTTTATGTAGTAAGTATACAAATATCAGTGTACTAGTAGTATACTTGTAAGTGTACTATTTCAATACTCCTTGGGACTAAATTGGCCCACTTTCTAGTATATAAAAGTATACTTTAAGTATACTTTAAGTATAACAGTAGTAAACTTTGAGTACACAACTAGTTTACATCAAAATGTTTAGCTTGTACTGCAACTATACTAAAAGTGAACTTATAGGTATACTGATAGTTTACTAATTAAATACTTGTAGTAGCATTTTTAGTACACTTTGAAGTATAATCTCAGTAAACTACTAGTTTAGTAGTAAAAAAAATAAATGTGGATTTAATGTGAACGCCAGATTTGATTTGGCTGGTGCATTTTCAGACGGAATTAAAGTGTTATAACGTCCGCTGACTTTATAATGCATAGCCTTTCCAAAGTCATTGACACATAAATTCAAGTTTTAGCTCAGAAGATTTAATTTTAGTAACACTGAAATGCCTGAACTAATGATTTGATGATTCTAATCACCTAAAGACAGTCTAAAGTGTCAAGAAACTGCGTTGTAAAAATGCTTTGACAGACAGCTTGAAAACATGCTTCATATGGTAACATCGAAGTTAAAATATGTATTTAATATGGCTACATCCATTTGAAAACATTAATTACTACAATAACAATCATTTTAAGGGTTACATCAGGTAAAACTGCACAGTTTCAGCTAAGTAAGTCTACGTATGAATGAAATAAAAAAATAAAAAATAAAACACTTGCTGCTGATTGAAATGTTAAATAAAAACGATTTAAATCACTTCAATATAAAAATTAGTTAATGCATTTGTACATCAGATTTCTTAATTTGTGTTGCAGATATCAAGAATCTAGAGATGTTTGTATTAAAGCTCATGCTGATTTTCAACCATGCTTACAAGACAATAAGTGCCAAATCAATTAATCCTGCATAAGACTTATCACAGTTACAGGTCCTTAGTGGCGCTATAAATTAATTAGGATTTTAAGTCTATAAATTATAATTTTGATATGCATGCTAATTTGTGTATTACAGTCCCTGTAGAAGTGTTGTGGAAGTGTGAATGACAGCCTGCTAATAAATTGGCTCCACAGTTTAGGCTGTTCTTCAGTCTCACAGACAGATGTGATAAACTTGGTGTGATATTACATCTATGACAAGACAAGTAGATGGCAAATTAAATTTATGATATGTTGACATCATAGATGGGGGACGTTTATTATGTTTTTCCATATAAATCAGTGCACGCTGCCTCTGTACAGCAGCTAGGTTGAGGCTCAGTCTGTGACTCATCTTGACTCATTAGTTCAATCTGCAAAGTCACAACTAGCATTTGTAAGAATTCTTTCCTCTTGGACTCAAGTCTCAGTCTCACATATCTTCTGAGACTAGCCTAGACCTGCATCACATGATAAATTACACATGTAGTTGCTTGACAGATGCCTCCCTATTAAAATACATAGCTGTAGCAAACTAACGTTACAGTTCTTGTATCTTATTATGTCAAAATGGCATATTGGTGTTGGATATATGCTAGTAGGCATATTATAGGTTTGCATCAGTATATGAAAGACAAGTGAAGAGTGTTGGGCGACTCTTGGATGACTAATTTTTCTCTTTTAAAAGTTCTACTTTGACTTCATACTTCAGCCCCGCTGTGTTACAGCACAGGGCTTGTATCTGTCTGTTTCCTGAGACGTTTGTTTGTTAGTAACCGTGTGTCTGTGAGGCACTTGGAGCTGTGCAACCCCTTGAACAGACAAGTCTCAATCACATATCGCTCCAGACGCTGTCACTCTCTGATAGACTCACAGAGCTCATGTAGTCACATTCACTCTGAAGCTTATCACACTTTCATGTGAGGCTTCCGGTCAGACTTTAAACATACTGACACAAATAAAGTCTCTCAGATTCATAAGTTCTTAGGTTCTGTAAACTGTCACCATTTCTGTATTTTCACCATTTTAAACACCTTTTACCTTCACTAGTTCATTTTAACAGGTCCTTTTGTGTGACAAATGAAGCTTTCACATTTGAATTACACATATTCAATATATACTGTATGATTCAAAGTTTGGGGTCAGAAAGATTTTGTAAATGTTTTGAAAGAAGTCTCTTATGCTTACTAAGGCTGCATGTTTCTGACTAAAAATACAGTAAAACTGTAATATTGTGTAAAATTCTTACAATGTAAAAGAACAGTTTTCTATTTTAATTTTAAAATGCAATTTATTCCTGTGATGCATTGCTGAATTTTCAGCATTATTACTCCAGTCTTCAGTGTCCCATGATCCTTCAGTAATCATTCTGTGATGATCGACACACCCACATTTAAAACATTTCAAAAGCAGGCTTTAAAAATATCACCATAAATACAATAACATGTGAGCACAGCATTGAAAATCAGCTGCATAATACAGGCTATACTGCTCATGTTTACATGCGCCAAACAGACTGGCACATGGGACACGTTGCTGTAGACATTCAAACACATCAGACTATGTGAAGATCACAGCACAGGTAATGCGGTTTGCCCTTTCAGGCTCATACATGCGGTTATTTTGCTGATGTGACGCACAGCACTGCATTGTGAGTGCTAATCTGTGCATCCATGTGGGATTTAGTGTCTTGCTTGCAGCTCTTTAAACTTTGTGTTGTGGAGGCAAGCCTGAGCTTTTCCCTCCTTTTTTCATTATGGACTGAGGATCAACATGATTACAGTTTTTAAACATCAGAGGTATAATTATGTAATGAAGAGGAGAATGAGCTTGTACTTTTTATGTTCTAATGTTAACCGTCACGCAGGAGGGACGTCTGACGCTGATCTCTTATGTTCTGTTTGAGTCTGAGAAAAGGCCATTTGATATGTCAAAAATGTGCTCAGAACCGAATCTTGGCAAAATTTCTACTTTAATAACATGCTTTAAATGTCCTCTTTGAAAAAATGTTATGCAGCTTCTTTTTGGGAACTCAGAGATGCCTGGTATTAAAATATGATTAAACATAAGAAATCTCAACAACGTTTTCTCATTTGTGTACACATTGTGGGGTTTACAAACAGTTTTTTTTTCTAGATTTGTCCCAAACTTTGGAAGGACTGACCAAATATCCGTCAAATCTATATACTACATGTATATATTTTGTGTTTCAGCAAAGTGTAAAAGTTTCAATATGTCTGTCAAATGAACTTTTTATTTGGTTGTAGAACAAATCCAAAAAATCTGAAGGTGAACTGAAGAATTACTGTGATTATTATCATTACTATTTACACATAAATCAACTGGCTCTCTGGAATTCCAGTTCAGTCCAATTCAGTCATATTATTATATGAGGGTTGTATCTGAACTGTGCCTTACATCACTCTAACAAATAGGAAAAATTAGTAACAGTCATAAATTACCACAGATCATTTCATATTTTTACAGTCTTATAAAGACAGATTGCCAAAACAGGCTAAACTGAGAGTAACTCTATTTTATTCTGACTATATTACAGACTGAAGACACTATGAATAACAGCGCCATCGTGTGTTCAGTCTTCTACAGTGATCGTAGAATATTTTGAATGCATAGTATATTATAAATACATTTTCTTAAAAAGTATTTTAAAATATATTGTGGTATGTTTTTATAACATATTTAAAAACAGCGATTTGAACAGCGAAAAATGACACGAATTCTAAAAAAAAATTATAATAATTTTTGCACAGTGAGCATAAAATGGCACATTTGACCAATCAGAATCAAGTATTCCACATCACTGTGTAACCAACCATTGTGTTTGATACTTATGACTAGACAACATTGAGCGTTTTAATGTATTTTTCAAATATAAATGCATCTTGACTTTTTTCCTGTATTTTTGTAGTGAGAAAATATTAAATGCCACTGCTATTTATGGACAAGATCAGTGACTTGTTCGTTGAACCGTTGTCTGTTTTCTGTCCTGTAGGATGTGTGTATGAGTTGAGATAGAGCTCAAGCCAGTGATGGAGGCAGGACTGAACTGCAGCTCTCACTGTGAGTCTGGCGTCTGCTTCATCTACCCCGGAGTGAACATCCAGCAGGGCTGGGACGTCCTACAGAGACTGTGTGCGCTCGCAGTGGTACATTCACACACTCACCCCCATCCACCACCGTACACGCTCAGAGACAGTCACAATTACATTCACAAACAGTTCAAACAAGTTTGAGCGAGGCCACTAAAACGCTTCTATTTTGTATTTTTCTTATTTTGTTCTTTTGAACTTTTGATTTAACAAAGAATCTAGAGAAAATGTATCACCATTTCCACAAAAATATTAAGCAGCACAACTGTTTTTAACATAATAATAATAATAAATGTTTCTTGAGCAGCAAATCTGCATTCTGAAGGATCATGTGACACCGAAGACTGGAGTAATGATGCTGAAAATTCAGCTTTGATCACAGAAATAAATTACATTTTAAATATATATTTACATAGTGTTTTTAAATTGTAATAATATTTGACAATATTACTGTCATTACTGTATTTTTGATCAAATAAATGCAGCCTTGGTGAGCATAAGAAACTTGATAGAACATAAAAAAAACATGCAGTAGTGTATACATTCATTAAATTGGGCTGTTTGTCTGTGTCTAGAGGGGTGTGGATGCACAGAGTCGATCGCTGTCTCCTGCTCTTCGTGCTGTAGTCTGGACGCTGCTCTCTTGTGGGATTCTGCTGGCGCTCTTCTTCCTCATTTTCACTCTGCGCTTCAAAAACAACAGGTACAGGATCTCTGGATCTCAAACATGATTTTATTGCTTTACAGGTGGTCTTATTGTCTAATGACTATGGCTGCCAACATGAATTTTGATTATGTACCTCTGACACAGGATAGTGAAGATGTCCAGTCCCAATCTGAATGTGTTGACTCTGTGTGGCAGTGTACTCACATACAGCAGCGGCTTCTTATTCGCCGTGGAGGAGAGAGCACCGCTGTCAGGAACAGGATCAAGAGCTGTCTTGCAGGTACACACACACACAGTTATTTAGGTAGTCTGATAGAGTTGATGTTCAAAAACTAAGACCCTCTTCTCTATGTACCTGCCTATATGTAAGCATAACTAAAGCAGTCCTATAAATCACACAGCTGGCTTATTACTCTGAATTGCTAAATGGCTATTTACATTTTACAACACCATAAACCTCCTTTACTTTCCAAACATGTTTAGCAGAATTTTTGCTTACTTTAAGCTGTAAGGCTTCTCAAACCATGCATCTGTGATTGATTACATACCTGTTGTTTATGCTAGAAATGTCTCTGGATTTAGTTATTTTAATGTTGTGTATGTCTGCATGTGAGTGTGTTGCTGTTTAATATGGATTAGCAGTGGTTTAAAAAAAAGGGTAAAAAAAGCTCTTTTGTAATTTGTTGTATTTTTCCCTTTACAAAATGAAAAGTTGCATATACTGTATATATAATAGACACACACACACACACACATATATATATATATATATATATATGTGTGTGTGTGTGTGTGTGTGTATATATATATATATATATATATACATATATACAATATATATATATGTGTGTGTGCGTGTGTGTGAACTTTTTATTCATCAAAGAATCCTTAAAAAAAATGTATCTCAGTTTCTGCAAAGAATATTAGGCAGCATGAATGTTTTCAAATCCGATAATAATAATAAATGTTTCTTAAGCAGCAAATCAGCATATTAGCATGATTTCTGAAGGATCATGTGACACTGAAGACTGGAGTAATGATGCTGAAAATTCAGCTTTGATCACAGAAATAAATTACATTTTAAATATATATTTACATAGTGTTTTTAAATTGTAATAATATTTGACAATATTACTGTCATTACTGTATTTTTGATCAAATGAATGCAGCCTTGGTGAGCATAAGAAACTTGATAGAACATAAAAAAAACATGCAGTAGTGTATACATTCATTAAATTGGGCTGTTTGTCTGTGTCTAGAGGGGTGTGGATGCACAGAGTCGATCGCTGTCTCCTGCTCTTCGTGCTGTAGTCTGGACGCTGCTCTCTTGTGGGTGTGTGTATATATATATATATATATATATACAGTATATATATATATATGTGTGTGTGCGTGTGTGTGAACTTTTTATTCATCAAAGAATCCTTAAAAAAAATGTATCTCAGTTTCTGCAAAGAATATTAGGCAGCATGAATGTTTTCAAATCCGATAATAATAATAAATGTTTCTTAAGCAGCAAATCAGCATATTAGCATGATTTCTGAAGGATCATGTGACACTGAAGACTGGAGTAATGATGCTGAAAATTCAGCTTTGCATCATAGGAATAAATTACATTTTACAATATATTCAAATAGAAAACAGTTATTTTAAATTGTAATAATATTTTACAATATTATTGTATTATTTAGAATGGTAGTGTATTTTGTAATTTCCTTATTTTTCCCATTACAAAAAAGAAATTGGCATTAATCAGGAAATTATACAGCCATATTATAACTATATAAATTCATACAAATGCTTTTGCTACAAATCTACACACACCATTATTGTCTTGATGACAGAGCATCAGAATTTTCAACAGCAGTGTAGAATACATGAGAGATGAACAAATGTTTGAGTTCCCAAGGCATTAAAATGGATTTGCAAAATCAAGATAATTTTCAGTGACAGCTGAAACTCTTCCTGTAGGTCATCCTTATTGTTGAGCCCTTTTTTGTCTTCATTGTGGATTTAAACAGGTTCCAGGTTCAGTTGAACAAACAGTGTCATGATTTGTATAGTTAAAGGCTGTTCTCGTGTTAAATAGTGTGAATAATTTTTCTGTACCATCTCAATTTTCATCACAGGCGCGGATGTGGACACTGTGTATCGGCAGCTCTCTGGTGTTTGGCCCCATTCTTGGGAAAACATGGCGGCTTTACAGAGTGTTCACTCAGCGTGTGCCCGACAAGAGAGTGGTGAGCTGTAATATATGTTTGTGCATGAACAGGCTATGAATCGTTGCTTGATATCACTGGCTTCACCATAGTACTTTGTTCACTTGTGTTTCAGATCATTAGAGACATCCAGCTGATGGGTTTGGTTGCTCTGCTGGTCCTAGTGGATGTTGTTGTTCTAGCAGCATGGGGTCTGACGGATCCGATCAAGTGCTCTCGCTCTATAAGTGCTATGGTGAAGGTACATCCACTTTCTATAGAATTTTCACATATATCTGTCATCCTCAAAAATGGACAAAATAATTCACCACTATAGAAGTAGTCCATTGTGTGCTGAAGCCTTCTCTATCACTATGTGATTGTTCTGTGTGAGGAAAAGAGCCTAATTTAACTCAGAATCTATTTGCATTCTTAAAGGGGTCATATGATGCGATTTCAATTTTTCCTTTCTCTTTGGAGTGTTACAAGCTCTTGGTGCATAAAGAAGATCTGTAAAGTTGCAAAGACTAAAGTCTCAAATCCAAAGAGATATTCTTTATAAAAGTGAGGAGTCAGCCACACCTACCTAAAACGGCTCGTTCTAACATACCCCCACGTCTACCCTCACTATGTGGGAAGATTTGCATAACGCCGCCCAAATGTTCATGCAAAGAAAGAAGGCGTAACTTTTAGTCTTGCTGTAGTATTGTTGACGCTGCAGCCATGTCGTGAAGACGCTGTGTGCTTCGTTGTGAAAGCGAAACTACTTTGTTTGGTCTTCCGAAAGAGGACGATGTCCGCTTCGTCATGCCTGAAGCTGATCTGTGCTGGTCGCTGAGCGAATACATCAACTTTCACCGTGGACGAAGCAGAATCCAGCCGTCACATGTGGTTGCCGCTCATTCGTCGGATCTCGACCCTGCCACCTCAGCTCACTCTATCCCGGCCTCAGGCTTCCCCTCACGCTAGGCCGCTGTGTTTTTCGTTGTGAAAGCGAAACTACTTTGTTTGGTCTTCCAAAAGAGGACACGACTACAAATCAGTGGTATTTACAACACTGTTCCAGAACAGTTTAACCCAAATATCCAGATGTGTGCAGCACATTTTATGGAGGACTGTTTACTGATCCTGGGAGAGTAACGTTAGACTAAAATGCCAGCAGTTCTGACTCACGTAAGTACGTTTTCATTTAAAGGATTTGCCACTGATGATTCAAACGCGAGTTATGGGCAGTAGAGTAGCACTTGTTGTTTGTCATTTCTTTGATCACATATGCAGACAGAGTTTTACGTTTACGCAGTGCGATGCAATGCAACGCAACGCATAAAAAGACAGTATAACTCATTATAATCAGTATGTCCCCGCTGGATGCAACAAATGTCTCGTTTGTAATGGGTTTTAATATTTATGTCTCGTAGCTCCGGCCGGGACACGGCATCACAGTATGGTAAGGGGCATAACATTTCCGTCTCACGCTTGAGGTATTTGGCCAATCACAACGCATTAGATAGCTGGCCAATCAGAGCACACCTCGCTTTTTCAGACCAATGAGCTTTGTAAAAATCGATGCGTTTCAAAAAGGCGGGGCATAGAGGAGAAACAATAATGTACAGTATGTGGAAAATAATGTTTTTTTACTTTAAACCGCATAAACACATTTCATTACACCAAATACACAAAATAATGTTCTTTTTAGCAGCATCATATGACCCCTTTAAAGCAGGGAAGTCATACTTCATTTTTGAAGCTTCACAGCCATTATTTCAATATAGAAGGATATAAAGAGCCATTAAAAGGATGACCGATGCAAGCTTAAATCATTTATGGCATGTAAAGTATTTTGTGTTGTTTCTTTTTTTGTCAGGTTGTAGAAAGGGACGCGTCCTACTCTCTGTCCCAGTTGGACTCCTGTTCTTCTCTCTACTCTGACCTGTGGGTAATCCTGCTCTCTGTGCTTAAGGTAAAATTCAGCTTGGCCTTCATAGGAATGAATTACATTACAGATTATATGCTAACACAGACTCTCTTTGCTCTTTTGCAGGGCAGTCTCCTCCTGTACGGCACGTATCTTGCCGGCCTGACAAGCAATGTGAGCTTACCTCCAGTAAACCAGTCTATGACCATCATAGGTGCTGTCTGCCTGGTCACCATGTCGAGCGCTGTGGCCGTACCTGTCTCTCTTTACCTGTACGCCTGGCCCAATGTGGTCTACAGTGTAGTGTCTGGAGCCATCTTCATCTGCACAATGGCCATTAACTGTCTACTGTTTGTCCCTCAAGTACGTCCCAGTAAATCCACTGCCAATGTCTTGTGATTTGCAATCAAACTCTGAGTCAGTCTTTGTTTCTGGAGTTTCTAACTTAATCAAGAGGCTTATGTTGAGGCACAACCAATCGATAAATCTACCGCAGGAGAGGCAGATCCAGGTGATGAGTCAGCATCAAACATCAAATGTGTTTACACAATGTGTGCTGCACATTTGGAGAGGACACTGCTAATGTTGGCTCTTTATGACTGTGTGGATTTTGGGTAATATTACAGCAGTTCATTGTGGATCGATCAGAACCAAAGAGCTTGTGTGTGGTTAAGATAAAAAGGCTGGCAAAAAGGGGAAACATATGCTCAATGAGACATGATAATGCCCCCCCCCCCCAAAAAAAATTTTTTTTGCACAATAATTAAATCATTCAGTAACTGAATACTCAATAGAAACACTTGATAATGTATATAATTTAATACTCTTGCTGTACCTACATCTTCATCATTATTATTCTTCCCTCTAGCTGACCCAGTGGAGACAGTTTGAAGAGGAGACAAACTCTCACCCCAGTCAAATGGCCAAATACTTCAGTAGTCCCAGCAAGACCACACACTCCATGTACAGTGAGGATGAGATCTATTATCTACTTGGAGAAAATGACTCCATGAAAAGACTCATCAATGAGGTAACAATAATTATTACGTCTTCATTATTCAAAGCAAAGCTTTTCAATTCACTTTTGTTCCTTTTAGCATTTATAGCCTACACACCTCAAAACCTAGAGGGACATTGTGCTATCCTAAAGCCCAAAGTAAACTTTGCTTATCCACATCCTCTGTGCCTTCTCAGATGTACGTGTGATGTTATTTTCGCCTTTTAAAGGATTAGTTCACTTCCGGAATAAAAATGTCCTGATAATTTACTCACCCCCATGTCAGGGGCTTATTTAGCGAAACGATCGTTCACTTTCTAAAAAAAAAAAAGAATAATAAAAATGATATACTTTTTAACCACAAATGCTCATATTGCACTAGCTCTAGCGCGTCCGCGATTTCACGCATTACGTAGTCGAGCATTTGTGGTTAAAAAGTATATAATTAAAAAAAAATTTATTAGAAAGTGAACGATCGTTTCGCTAAATAAGCCCCTTATTCCTCGGCTGGGATTGTGTAGAGCCCTTTGAAGCTGCATTGAAACTGCAATTTTGACCTTCAACCTGTTGGCTCCCATTGAAGTCCACTATATGGAGAAAACTCCTGGAAGGTTTTCCTCAAAAACCTTAATTTCTTTTCTACTGAAGGAAGAAAGACATGAACATCTTGGATGACATGGGGGTGAGAAATTTTTATTCTGGAAGTAAACTAATCCTTTAAGCCTTATGTATTTTGAATACATAATATTGTGTGTATTAATATGCTACAGAATTGCTAGATGGTTACTTTGGTGTTCCTTGTTGGTTGCTAAGGTGTGGGTAGAGAGATAGACAGACAAACAGCCAGATAGATAGATAGATAGATACAATTTCAAAGGAAGTCTATGGGATTTTAGTTAATTGGTTGCTGCAAAACCATCAGTCAATTAGACACAGGCATACAGCACATGGAGTCAGACTTAGAAGAGGCTGAAGGACTGTGATTGTGGTGGATGTAGCTTAAAAGCTATAGGAGGACTTGCATTTAGCGATTTAGGTCTTGGTTTAAAGGATTTTTTCAAGCAAACACAAAGTTCATTTGATTACACTGCTCTGAGTAAAGCGATGGAACTAGTTTTGTCCACACTGCGATTACTGGTTTGTGTGAGCGAGTGATGATGAATTCCAGCGTTGGGTGTGGACAGCAGTATGTTTTGCGTCACTACCCCACAAGTGAGGCTGGATCCTTTGTTTTACATTTCCTCAAGGCACCGCTTTGTGATCTCACATCCTGTAAAATTGGCACCTAAACCATACACTTACTTAGTCGTTTTAGATAATGATTAGGGCGATGCGGTTTTAAACCATTTTTCCCATGTGTCCTCCATATTTGCAGAAGAATGCCGTTATTGATAGCCTACAGGAACAAGTGAACAATGCCAAGGACAAGCTGCTCAAACTGATGACTGCTAGCCACCCCTTGGATGAAGGAGAAATGGACTCCTCCAACACGAACCTCAACTCCACCTCCACCCAAACCACAGTGGTATCTCCTGATTCTCCAATGCTCCAATGCTAATCAGAAGTTGCTCCCACCAGAGTTCTCTCTCCACCTCCCTATGTACCTCCTCCACCACTTCACACTCACACACTCACACAGCAAACATCCCCTGAAGGTCCAGTAGCTACAGAATTTCCTCTGTCTTCACCATCACACCTGAGGTATCCATCTCCTCAAGATAACTCTTCCAATGAGGTCTCTCAGGTTGTGAGTCTGAATGAAAGCACAGAAGATGCCGTTCCAACCATGAACAATCTCAGAAACTCAGGTCTTGGAAAAGAGATTTCGGAGAAGCCACTAGATGTGCCTTCGGATCGAACCAATTTAGCCCAGGGTTCCTCTCCACTAGGTCCCGCTCTATGTAGTTCTCCTCAGGTAGAGTCTCCAGTGCCATTGGCCTCTGTTGAGCTTCCCGCCATGTCACCAACAGGACGACTGGGTTTTGTAACCAATGAGCAGCTGGTGGAGATCTTGCAGGACCTGAGCGTGGATGCCGTAAGCAGCTCTGTCAAATCACCCGACCGGGCGCGAAGCCTGTCCCTCAATCCGGATGAACTGAACACGGCTCTTTCTCCTCGATCTCCTCTACAGTTCTTCTTCCCCACCATCTCACCCTATCTCATGCGTAAACGCAGACCTCCTTTTTACTCCTCAAGAGTTGGACCTCCCCCTTACTATTTTCCAGGCTCGGTTCCTCCAGGGCGCAGGAGGGCATCAGCACTAATAGACCATGAAAAGTTGAGGGACGATGGCTCTCAAAGACCTGACTTGTGGCATGAGGGAAGGAGGAGGAGAAAGGATGAAAAGGCACAGGCACGACGTGGCTTGGGACAGGAGAGTTGGGAATGTTCTTCTCACAAATGCTCCATAACGCCTTTCACGGGACAGGTATCTCAGCCTGCCTCTGCTGGACTGATAGAGGGGGTTAAACACTCAGAGGAGCTATATGACTACTCAGACTCAGACTCCAGCAGCTCAGAGGACTATTACTACCATCGGCCCTACTGCGGGGCCTGTCATCACCCCTACGACTCCACAGACAGCCTCACCTCAGGGATCTCTGACAGCGAGGATGAGGACTTCTACCACTCAGCACATCCTGTTGTGAACTTTAAAGTGGACGTTAAACCAACCTTTGTCTGAACAGACTGCACATCCACAAGTTGTATTTGATATGATGCTCTATTTGTTTTGTTTGGACCTGATTAAATTAATCAGATATATCTGTAAGTTTTTTTTTTTAAAGAAGTGTCTTATGCTCAGCAGGGCTGCATTCATTTGAAAAATATTTTACAACTTATTTATCAGAAATAAGACTGGAGTAATGGCTTCTGATAATTCAGCTTTGTCAACACAAGAATAAATTACATTTTAAAATATATTAAAATAGAAAACAGTTATTTAAAAAAAAAAAACATTAATAAAAAAATTTTACTATTCCAAACTTTTGACCCGTATTGTACATTAAAAATGCACTTAAATACACCTCTTCTATGTAAAACTTACGTTTAATAAAATTTAATTCGATATTTTTGGTGGTGTCTAAAGTAAAAAATATCTAATAGTATAATAAAGGTCTCATTAATGGCTAAATTCCTTTAGAAGAATTTAAATTGTACAATTTTGTATTAGTACTTAATTAAATCATAAAAATAGGAAAGGATATGACAGAGACAACTCTGTCAAGGTCAGTATTTATTATTATTTTTATTACTTTTTTAGTTTTTAGATGTCAAATTGAATCTGGAATAATATGTGTATTTTTTCTTTTTTTTTATTGAAAAATATGTTTGAAAATTGTGGAGATGTATACACAACACATTCTGTTTACTTGATGATCACAACAATTTTTAGAGATTTTTAGTCATAAAATGTATATCATGTAAAGGAAAAACCTAAATTGAATATAATGTACTAGGTCATTAAAAAGTAGTTTGGTGGTCTTGCTTACCTCTTCTCTGATTAACATAACTAATGAAAATGAGCCATTTGAGTGAGTGGAGAGGGAAATTGAGCCAATACCAAGACCAACTAGGGCTGTAAAAAAAAAATTTTTGAATTTAAAATATTTGTTGAATTTAAAATAAAAATCCACATTCGAATTCAAAAACGTTGCATTTGAATTTTAGGTGTGCATTAAGGAGGCAGCCTTATCAGTGGCGCACGAGATGCGATGACGATGTAAGTGTCCTTGCATTATAATGTTTTTGTTAGCCTATCCAGTTGAAGCCACTAGATGCGGCGCTGCTGCGTTGTTCATTAAAAATACTGCAGAAAAAGATATCAATGCGGAGAAGATCTTGTTTACATCAAAACACCAAGCCATTCACACAGAACACATATTTCACGCATTTTCTAGAGGGACATCTATCACCGTTGCACTCACGTCTCGCACAAAGGAGCCACATGTTTAGAAAGCCATGTAAAATTAATGCAAGTTTAACTTTGAAAAAAAAACATATCTCCAGACTTTATGGTGTTTTTTTTCCCCCATCCCACTGCAACTCGTGTTTTTAAATGAAAAATGTACTCTGTGTGATTGGCTTTCCGCCCTTTGTATTAAACTATGCATACAAACATGATGTTGTTTTGTTTATAGTTGTTTAAGCAACTTAATTAATTATAATTGGTTTATAAACAATATTTTAAACATTATGCACTTTTTTCACAGACACCAGAGTTCTCTCTCCACCTCCCTATGTACCTCCTCCACCACTTCACACTCACACTACCTCACAGCAAACATCCCCTGAAGGTCCAGTAGCTACAGAATTTCCTCTGTCTTCACCATCACACCTGAGGTATCCATCTCCTCAAGATAACTCTTCCAATGAGGTCTCTCAGGTTGTGAGTCTGAATGAAAGCACAGAAGATGCCGTTCCAACCATGAACAATCTCAGAAACTCAGGTCTTGGAAAAGAGATTTCGGAGAAGCCACTAGATGTGCCTTCAGATCAGGACAATTTAGCCCAGGGTTCCTCTCCACTAGGTCCCGCTCTATGTAGTTCTCCTCAGGTAGAGTCTCCAGTGCCATTGGCCTCTGTTGAGCTTCCCGCCATGTCACCAACAGGACGACTGGGTTTTGTAACCAATGAGCAGCTGGTGGAGATCTTGCAGGACCTGAGCGTGGATGCCGTAAGCAGCTCTGTCAAATCACCCGACCGGGCGCGAAGCCTGTCCCTCAATCCGGATGAACTGAACACGGCTCTTTCTCCTCGATCTCCTCTACAGTTCTTCTTCCCCACCATCTCACCCTATCTCATGCGTAAACGCAGACCTCCTTTTTACTCCTCAAGAGTTGGACCTCCCCCTTACTATTTTCCAGGCTCGGTTCCTCCAGGGCGCAGGAGGGCATCAGCACTAATAGACCATGAAAAGTTGAGGGACGATGGCTCTCAAAGACCTGACTTGTGGCATGAGGGAAGGAGGAGGAGAAAGGATGAAAAGGCACAGGCACGACGTGGCTTGGGACAGGAGAGTTGGGAATGTTCTTCTCACAAATGCTCCATAACGCCTTTCACGGGACAGGTATCTCAGCCTGCCTCTGCTGGACTGATAGAGGGGGTTAAACACTCAGAGGAGCTATATGACTAATATTTTAAACATTATGCACTTTTTTCACAGACAGTCATGTTATCTTATGTTTTGAATAAACGAGCATTAGTAATATTTTGCTCGATGCGCCCTCTTGTGGCCTTAGAAGAGAAGCCAAAAGGTTTTCTTCACCCTAACTGAAATTATGCATTTTAAATTCGAATATAATGCGAATTTTGATCATATTTAAGTTCAAAATTCGAATTTAGTTTTTCAGCCATTTTGACAGCCCTAAGACCAACTTTTGGCTTTCATGTGTCTGTTAAAAAAGGTATTTGTTTACACTTATTTCTTCAAGAAAGCTATTATTATACAGTTTCAGGAATATCAATACTCTTTTTAAACCTTTCAAAAATGTAATTCAAAATCGTAGGTTATATGACTGATTTTTACAATCCTATTTACGTTAATTTATTTAGAAACACTGTGCAGCTTAAATGAGAGATTAGATATGGAGGAAATATTCCAATGCAAATACTGTCAGAATATAAATAATCAAAATAAAAACAAACAGCTGTGAAGTTAGCTTTTATTGTGTTCCGTATTGCATTTGAATTCTTATTACGTTCCTTGATCATTTAAAATGGCTCTTGCAGTCCTGTTATTAAAAAAATAGGCTATCATAGAAATCAAATCATTTCAATTGATAAATCTTTCTCTTGCAATATTAAAATGCTTTATTTTGTGCTACATACAACTTTACACAGTCGTTGCTTTGGTTTAGTCAGTCTGTTTATAGTATTTATTTTTGGTTAGTCTTTGTGTGTGGAATTTTTTATTAACGATAATGTTTTATGTTTACCAAGGCTGTTATATATTTGTTTATCTCCTTATTTATCTAATTTACACTCTAAGGAGGAAATGTGACTGAAGAACTTGAGCAGCATACATCATGTTATTTCTTCAAACAGTGTTTTTGAAACTGAATTATTTTTGCTTATATTGCATTTATGTAAATATTTTAGTGTGTGTGAATGTGTTTATATCTCTGTGCCTCTTGTAAACATGTTTTCTCTATGAAGCTAAGTTCGTTATTTAATCTCTCTTTGAAAGGAATGAGCATCTACAAACAAATACATGAACATGATTGCATAAGCATACTAAAAGACTGAATGTAAGTGATGAGATGTGTTTATCATTGTTTGTGCATGTGAATAAATGTGTGTACAACAGTATATACATCTGTGCATGTGTGCAAACACACATCCACACTTGCCCAAGGAAGTATTTGCATTAAGGAAAAAAGAAAAACGCAACTTGCATTACTTGTTCTATTGCAGATGTAGGGCTATTTGTGAAACATCATTGTAAAATGTGCTCAAAGCAGCAAGATCACATCACAGAAAAGAGTGCTAGCAGAAAAGAAGCACAGACATTGTGAAACATCCAGGATGTATACAGTACAATGGTTGCAAATGAAACATGGCACTGTAGATCTAAAGCACAATAATGTTGATGGCGGGGGGAAAGGGAGAATCTGCCCATCTACAAAATGTAAATAAGCAATTATGTTGGATGCAATGTTATGCAAGCCCACTGCAGGAATGTGCAATAATTTTTAGCTGAAACATGCCTGTGTTATGTACATCATCCTTGCACTTGGATATTTATACTTCCCTGCTGTAAAAGGCAAACAGTTAAATAACAACCTTATAACACTTTGCTAATGCATAAGCTGTGAGATTCAAAAAGAAAAAGAAAATGGCAGAGAACTTATCTAACAACACCCCAGCAAATAGTTTTCCTGATTGCTCTTAATACATCACAGGTCAAAGAATACACGCCAACATGGTAGGATCGTTGTTCATCAAATTCAGTATTTACTATAAAAGTATAATGGAATGAACAAACTCATACTCAAACTCAACTATTGATGAACTATTCATTTAAGCCTTTAAAACTGTCCCACATCTGTCATCAACCTTCTAGTAATGTCAGACACAGTGTGAACGGAACACATTTTAGGAGTTCCATGAATATGAAAATGGAACTGCTTGTAAGTAAAAGCCAGACAGACTTGCAAATGACATAGCCATTTTTTAACCAGAGAAGTAAAAGATCACAGTAATTCTGCTTTTTTTAAAAATATTTAACTTAGAAAATATTGTTTTTTTAGCTAAAGGCCCCCACATAATTTATAGTAAATAGTGTTTTTGAACCATATGTAGTAAACTGTATACTGTATATATTATAGTATTTACAACACTTTTTGAGCATACTGTAGTATTAACTATAGTGAACTGATAAACTAAATACTGTAGTATGCTTTAGTTTTTACTAGAGTAAACTGTATACCTTATAGTTGTAGAAATCTTAGTACAGTATTGGGTAAAGTAATTAGTTTATATGACTATAGTTGTTATATTATCACAGCAACTATAGAATTACCACAACAAATCACTTTACTATAGTATGGTTCAAAAACACTATATTATAAATGACTGTAGTATTTTTTAATGTGGGTAGACACATTACATTACGCTGACACGCTAATTAAGTAATTATAATCAAAAAATGATCGAAGACATACGTGAGTGATTTGAAAATTACACTGTACCAATGGCGAAGCGTCAGGTCACGGAAGCGATCGCAGGAACTCAGCTGACTAGCAACAGTGCAGCTTGGTTACTTTTGCGCCGTTGATGCTTCTTCACGATTGGCCCGTTTGTTTTCCTCGGTTACGCTTATTGGGTGATTTTGCAATCGGTCATTCCACGCGCCCGCCCACGTTCGATTTCCGCGCGTCATCCACGGCTGCAGAACCCGGACAGATTGGCAAATTACGCCATGTGTTCTGCGGACAAACGCATTCGATTGGCTGAGTGTCTCGCCGACGCCCCGCCCATCTGCAAGGAACGCCGCCGGATTGGCTGGCTCAGACCTCCCCAGGCCTTCCTGCGCGTTGCGTTCACATTTGTCCGATTCTTGACGCAGCGGTGTGGCGTAACCCCAGCTGTGCTCCCGTTCAGCTCTACTGCAACTCTTGCGCACACAGCGCAGTTTACGTTCATCGCTCGGAGTGACAAAGAGAACGAGCACAGATAGACGGAGAAGAAATAAAAAAGGACATTTCTGAATTACCGTGGGGATTCTGAGCACCGTTTCCTTTCGGAACCTCACGTGTGGCTCATTTCTTGCATTACCCGCGTATATTTTGGATTTCTTATTTGTTCATCCATGTGCATGGAGTTAAGTGGCTCGAGAAGGATAGCAGTCTTGAAATTGGGCAATTGGAAAATTCTCAGTATCGTTGGTTAGAGCAAGGAAGCCGCCATGGCTGGTGCTACTGGGTCGCCGAGTCTCCTCCTCAGTATATGAACAATACTGAATGGTGATGAAAAACCACTCCAATTTCTCAGCGTCGTGAGGGTATTTTAGACACGGGCTGTGTTCTTTGTGTAAATCTCTGTTCCAGTCAGAGAGAAAGAAACCGACGAGGATCGGTGGGTTTTGTTTCGAGGGAAACTGGGAAAAGGCCAATTTCATGAGCGCGTTTATCTGAGGTTTCAACCCTGAAGACGATACTAATAGTCACAGAAAAGCGACCCCGAGGAAAATGATCTGAAAGCGCTTGAGAGCTCACTGAAGAAAACGTTCGCGGACAGCCGGGTTGCTTTCGCACCATTTTCCTTATTATTTAAGTCGGAGGCAAACTGCTTGCCGTGAGTCGAAACGGATTCGTTCAAGACAACCGAGCGCATTTTACTCTTGAGAGAAGCGTGGGATTTCGGATTGGAAAATGTCTGGTCGGCCCAGAACCACCTCCTTCGCAGAGAGCTGCAAGCCAGTGCCGCAGCCGTCGGCTTTCGGCAGCATGAAAGTCAGCAGTAAGTATGATTTTTGGACGCCGGGAAATCTGCTTGTAGTGCTTTGGCGAGGCCACTCGTGCTGTTGACCGAGCCTGGTCGCTTTAATGAGCGAGAATGGCGCATCTGTGCGCATCGACCGAGTCGGGCACATGAGCTGAGATTTGAGTTTCACCTTTGGGTGAAATACGACGTGCCCCATTTTAAATCGGTCGGCGTGCTTTATCCCACAGCTGAGCCGAGACCGGGGCCCCGCCGTGGGTTAAACGGGCATGACTGGCACTGGTTTCTGTGCGTTTTAATGTTAAGGTCTTGATAGTACAGGAGTCTTAATCAGTCTGGAGATGAACAGCCACGGAGTTGAGGCTGTAGTTAGCCCTCTGACAGCAGCTCGCCATAATACCACTTTCTTTTTTAAAATTAGCATCTGTCTTATATTTGGTACTTTTCTCATTACTAGTCATCCAATAGTTATAATAGATATTTTTCTACAACAGCTTATTTTTAAGTACTACAGTATTGGCTAGCATGTTTTAATGTTTTCTAGTATTGATTTTTCAAAATTAAGCAATCCAATAATGTCTATTTAGTTAGTTATATACTTATGAAGCCATACTAGTAATTATTCCTTTGCTACTAAGGACAGTCAAGTGACCAGTAATGCTACTGGTAACATATTGTAAATTCTATAATTTTATCAACTGCTTGCCTCCAACTATGTGTTCCGGTTGTTGCTGGCACATATTCTAGCTTTATTGGTATGTATTTATTATATATTTGTATCTGTTTAGGAGATATTCGTAACTATGACAGACATCACTAGTAACAATTCTTATTTAGGTTTTTATTTTTATTTTACACTACTGGTATATAATAACTAGTTAGAATTGCTACTTTAGTTCAATTTTATTAGTAAGTTTTAAATGTTACTAGTAGCTTTGCAATATAGGTCTAATTAACAGATACTGGCGTCTATTCTAATTATAATAAAACCTGGAAAAGATACTAGATTTCAGTAGTTATGAGTAACTAAAGAATAAGTACTTGTAATTAATAGGGTGGGTGATATGGATGTAATTTTATGGCACAACATGAGTATAGTTTTACTGTAACAATATATATTATGACAGTTTTTTTTGTTAGTATTTGCTTTAAAATAAGTTTCTGTAATATAAAAAATTTCACTACATTGCAACTTCACATGAACGTATCCTTGACCACTGATAATCTGACAAATTTCTACAGGTCTATGATTGAACTGGTGTATTGCCCACCCCAAATACTTATATAGTTATGAGTAAATCTGAAATCGAAATACATACTAGTCAGAAGCAACTAGTTGATATGTGACACACAGATCCTAATAAAATTCACTGGAAAATATTTGGGGTTGTCACAATTGGCAAAGAAAAAATTACTAATGAATATGTATCAGTTACTAAAAAAAAGATACTAGCTATAATTGTAATAAGTAGTAGTATCTAATGAAGAGTTACTAGTGAAAAAAATACTAGTTGTTATTGAATTTTGTTCTTGTAATTATAGGCACTATGTAATTTTCGCCACTAGAGGGCGCGTATTCAAAATAAACAGAGACAAAGGCGTAGTTTGATGACGCAGTGACTGAGTGTGGAATCATGGGAGTTGTCGTCTTCATCCCCACAGCCGATGCAATCCGACGGGACTCGGGCAGAAATCATGTTCATGGATGAGCTAATGATTTATTAACGTAGTAGAATGAAGCAGGGTGAGGCTGAAAGCCGTCGAAGCGAAATGAGGCCGCTGAACGAGCATGACACACGGCTCAAAAGCAGCTAAGCTTTTATTATGCCACAGTCGACCACTTCCGCTCCTTCTGGTCATGCGTATGTGGTTGGTAAAGCAGCGCTGTTTTATCATACTAGATACATTTGAAAGTTCTGTTATAATGCTACTCTGTGCGGTCGTCACCTGTCTAATAAAACGCACAACATATTAAAGCCCTTTGGGGTTTCCATGTGGTCTACAAAGCCGGAAATCGAGGGGTTATGACGTCATTGGCAGGCGACACAATGACACTATGGACACGCTCCGTGTCACTAGTTAAAATTGCTTATTTCTCTGGATTTAAACATTCTTCGAAACATTTGGGATAATGCAAGTACACAAGTCAGCAAAATATATAACACTGTTCTAGTGGTTTTTGGATATTTTAATAAGAAAACGTACATATTGTGCCTTTAAAGCTGCAGTCCGTAATGTTTTTTTGGTTAAAAATGATCCAAAATCAATATTTGAGCAAGTACTTAACCAGCCAGTGTTTAAAACTATCTCCTTACTTTAGCCCGATTCACAATAGTAAGCTTATAATAATGTTTTCTAGTAATTGCTTATAGTGATGCTTATAATGGTAGGTTTTCGCGGTAAATCCGAGCATGCCGCTGCGTCATGACATCACGTCTGTAAACAAGGATTGAGTCCCGGCTAATAGACTATCGCATGCGAGGATCCTGCAGGTGGCGGATCGTTAAACTTTTCTCACAGCAGCTGGAATAATTACATTTATCATTTTGATTGTAATCCAGAAAGGATTATGTGTTTATGAAACACATGTGACTGAAATAAAATTATTCCAGTTTTAAATGTGCCTCTGATTACAGATAGCCTGGGATTACATAGGATTTGTATTTTAAAGAGAACCCGTTCGAAGAAAGAATAATTTGCTTTTTGGGTTAAAATAATTTCTTAATATGAAATTCTAATGGTATGACAATTAGAGATTAGAGCAGGGGTGCCCAAACTCGGTTTTGGAGGGCCGGTATACTGCAGAGTTTAGCTCCAACCCTAATTAAACACACCTGAATTGGCTAATCAAGCTCTTAGTTGGTATGTTAGAAACTTCCCGGCAGGTGTGTTGAGGCAAGTTGGAGCTAAATTCTGCAGGACACTGGCCCTCCAGGACCGAGTTTGGGCACCCCTGGATTAGAGACTAGGCATGGGCCGATTACCGGTTTCAAGGTATACCGTGATTTGAATATTTCACGGTTTCAAAACCACTAATATTTTCCGTTATAACGTTCCTGCGGTATGCGCTGTTTTTCATGTCTCCTCAAAGACTTAGGCTACGTCCACACGAAGCCAGAGCTTTCCCTATCCCATATTTTTTTTCCACTAGTCTCAAGAAATATCTGCATCCACACGAAACCACAAAACGATGTAGTATATATGCCAGACCAGCATGTTCTGGACTTGCACAAACTGCGTTGCAATGCAATCATTTTCCAAAATGCCATTTATGTGAAAATATGAAGTCTGTAAATGCCCGTTAACACAGGCCAGAGATGCTGAAGATGGACACACAGAGAAAAATACTGTAGAAGGCAGATCACTCACGGTTCATGATGCAAGAACTATTGGAAGAAGATCCTCAATATTGATTTGGGGGTTTATATGAATGTTTGATGGGAACTGACTGTCTTCAGAAAAGTTTACGTGGTATTTTCTTTTCATCTCGTCTCTGTATAGTTCATATTAAAGCAGTGTTAAAGCAGTAAAAAGGTTTTTTTTTTTAACCCAGTCATTTAAAAGTAACACATTTTAGAGCTGTAACAACAATACCGTGAAACCGTGATATTTTTGCTTAAGGTTATCATTCCGTCAAAATCTAATACCGGCCCATGCCTATTAGAGACTGTACAGAAATTAAAATCTACACACTACATACATGTAGTCACGCAATGCTGATGTTGTTAACATTAACAATTTGAGAACAAAGTATAACAATAATAATTTGCACGGTTTGATGTGATATGAGCTAATCGATCGTCAGATTTAATCACCATTGGTAGCGCGATTTATTGTAATGCTTTTTTTCCTCAGTTGGTCAGAACAAATGTGGCAGACTTGTTACTTGTTCTGATGACAATATTCTTTTTCTATGAAAATTCTTATTTGGGTCATATATTCCAAGACGTAGGCGAGAATGTTATTCCTAAATGTTACAGTATCCACACCGTTGCGGTGACTGACAGCCACACATTCACCTCAAAACTTTAGATTCATGCACGCTGGAGCCGTGCCGGCGCACAACCCACGCAATGAAAATAATTCCGCAAGTAACTGCAATTGCAGGTTTCAAACAGAGATGGCAACAAAGAGGCAAAACTTACGGACTGCAGCTTTAAAAAAAGTAGCAGTAAAATAGTTATTTTAAAAGAATAATTTTGAAATGGCTTTCCATACACCTTGTTATAGGCCTCTAACCTTTTTGAAAATAAAATTCAAATTGTTGCTCATGATCCTGTGGCCCTTTAGAAGGGTTCATACCTTTCACCCTATTAGCTACATCAAGCAGTGATCTGGACACAACTTTGTAACAAAATAAATCACATGGTCACTTTATATGTCTGTATTAATCATAATAATATGGTTTTAAAGAGTATTTAGCTGTGCAGACCCAGCGCACTCCTGCTCACCCTTAACCAATTCTCGGTTTCATTACATTACTTGAACTTTTTATTGATTGATTGATTTATTTAAAAAAAAAATTTTTTTTTAAACTAACAGTACAGAAGTACCAGTTATTATATAAAATTAGGGATGCTCCGATCAGGATTTTTGCAGCCGATACGGAGTACCGATTTCTTGTCATGGTGATCGGCCGATACTGATGCAGATTCTGATGCTTCAGGATTTATACAGATGGTTTCAATGGGCGCATGCGCCTGGCCCGAAGTTAACTTCTGGTCTGTTTTTGTTTATCAGTCTGGCTATGGCACTGGCTACAAACGCAGTTAAAGTTAAGGTGATGAGTAGACTGAAGTTGGGCTCAGGTGGTTGTGCTGTGGGATGTGTTTCCCATACATTTATTTATTTGTGGCGCTCACCACAATATCAAAACTGACGGATTTTTCCAAAAGGCTTGATTGAATAAACATGAGCATATACTGCACTTTTAAAAATCAAAACGAGGTGCGGGTGTTTTTATATCACTGTATTTCTGAAGGAAGACTATCTATAGAAAATTTTCGATGTCATTTTCA